GGATGGATGGATGGCTGGATGGATGAATGAATGGGTTACTCGATGGATGATGGATAAATCGATGGATAGCTGAATTGATGGATGAATGATAGATGTCTTCTTTAATTCACTGGAAAATCCTTATACTTCTACCAACAAACATTATTTGGCAGAGGTGATCATGATGTTTTTGGAGACGCTTGTTTCTTATTCAATTGTGTTCAGTACTAGGATAGAAAGATAATTAATGCAACAAATGAAGAAAAGAAAGATGGTTTTACAAGACTTTATGACGGCCAAAAAAAGCATTTCAAGCAGTTTCTCATTTCTAGTCACGTTTCCAATTACTTAAAGATTTATGCTGTAGTATGCAGTTCTGAGAGAACTTGACTCAAATGTCCACAAGCACTAGGGCTGGGCGATATGACCTTAAAATCTTACCGCAATATTTAGTGGCACCACCACAATAACAATAATACACTCTTCAGTATGCTGGTGAAAATTCTCAATCACCCACGTAGTAAAAAACAATGTTTTGGTTCCCATCCAAGAAGCTTAAAAAAAAAAAAAAAAAAAAAAAAAAAAAAAAATATATATATATATATATATATATATATATATATATATATATATATATAAAGAAGAAAAAGAAAGAAAAAAACCCTTTAAATTCAAAATGTCAGAAATAGCGTTGAGTTCGAGGCTTTATAGATGGGACCAAAAACAAAGCCTTGGTTTTGCTTAGAAAACCTGCAAATTGAAACCGATGAACTGGTCCTTCCCTTTTGGAATACTAGTCTAAGTGCCTTAAAGGGGGTCGTTAAAGGGAATCGTTGGCCCGCTGAATAGGCTGAATAGGCGGGGTCATCTGTTCCCCTGTAAAGGAGTGGGGTTTGCGATGATAGTGGGAAGGAATCAACTCATTGTAGGTTTTTGAAAGCTGAAATCTGAGTCCACCTCCTCTGTTTAGGGTTGGTTTTTCTTTCTTAAAATAGATGGCTTCGTTCACACCATATAAAACCACCTACTTTCTTTGTCCAAAATGTGTTGATGTACTGCAGAGTTTTGTCCTAAGGAGGTCTAGGGACAAGACTGTGCTATTTCTGACATTTTGAATTGAAAAAGCTTCCTGGATGGAAAGCGAAACATTTTCAAACTTGGAAACAAAGTCCAGTGGATTTTTCTTTTCTTCTTTTTTGGAACACAGTAATTTTTTTTAAGTTGTTCCTGGATAACCTAATAACTGTGAATGTTGCAACACTCATAGCCACACAATCACAAACTCTATCAATGTACAACTTTAAAATCGACTTCTTTAAGACACCAAAGAAATGTGATTTATATCACTAAACATCCCATAATTACTATATTTAATCACAGGTTTCAAATTTGCCAATGCACCAATGGAAAAAACATGATAGAAGAAAAATATTAAAATTCACAATTCACCCATTTTTTGAGTTTTTATCATCAATAATCAACATGGTTTTCATGGCTAGAAATGTATCACAATGATACAATAAAATCCACCCCTAATAAGGACACCTTTTATGTAAAAGAATCATCCTTAGAAAAGTTACCTACTGTCCTGCTTTATACATTGGATGTTGGTTTTCAAGAACAAAGCAAGTGCTGCTTTATCTTTGCCCTTAATTTATCACTCATCTATCCATGTCAAAATCTAATAAGTAATCATCATAATAAATAAACAAGTGATGAGAATTAAACAACCATCACTGCCGATAGTTCCACACCTTCACTGTTTCCTGAAGCGTTACTGAGGATTTGTTTAAGGATGTCAGGTTAGATGCAGAGAGTCATTGACTTCAGCAACTGATTCTCCTGAGCAAGTTCCGACCATGGAAAAAAGGAGATACTTATTGTTCATGGGGAAATGCAAGTAAAACAATTATTGATAAGTTATTTAAGTTGCAAAAAAAAGGTATAAGGCTTATTAATAAGTTGGGATACCGTGAACCAACTGATAAACTCTTCATTCAAAGCAGCAGGTTGAAATATAGAGATATTGTTTAAATAAAAATACTGTGAGCAATGTATAAAGCAGTGAACAGAAGTCTTCCTTCGTTATTAAGTAATTAAGTTAAGAGAGAATAAATATAATTTGCGAGGTTTGTTTATATTTCAATGTGCAAATGGAAGAGCCAGAAAAAGCCGAGTACGGACTTTTGTCCTTGCCAAAAATGTTCTTGAGAAGAACACAGGAAAGTGTGGATTCTGGGAGAACGGGAGCACGCAGCATAAATATTGGTCAATTGGAACAGAAGGGTACCGATGACGTCACCACACGCTTGGCTCGTCTGTAGATGCATTTCACTGTTATTAATAGTCTCTAGATAATAATCAATTATTACTTTTTTTATTTAATAGGGGAATAATAATAAACACAAATAGAATAAACATTTTGCCAAATAAAACAAAAAAATCGCCATCAGAGCCAGCGGTCCTTCACACACGTCTATGACGAGAGAGAGCAACCACAGATGGGCTAACATTAGCCCTGGCAACCATTACACTCAGGAGGTCAGCTGGTTTCTGCGGTCCACTCAATTTCAGAATTTGTTTTTTTAATTACACATTAAGTCGGTAAATGGGCCATATAGT